TTATACAGGAGGAGTCGACAGAGACAATGGATTCTAATTGGAATTCAAAACTGTCACATTAAATCAAAATATTCTCTTTTGTTGTAATATAGTCGTGGTTGTAGCTAGTCTGGGGCTCTCATAGAACTTCCATAGAAATAGTTATAGTTTGCAAAGTTTTCAATAAATCTTATATGATAATAGATTAATTTAACTTATAGATTACAATCATAGAAAAAAATACTTGTTTGAACTCTTGTTCAAAAGGTTAGAGGTGCAATCCGTTGATATTAGTGATAAAATTTTAGGGTTAACTATACGATCGTGCTTAATGAGATTAAGATGATCCAAACATTTAATTTATGGAAGGGGAAAAGCCGACATGGATTGATGCTAATATGTAATATTGATCATTTTCGGATAAGCTGCTGAAATATTGTTTTTCGATAATACCAAATTAAGACGTTTATATGGTTCCAAAAGAAAATCACGTGATGGGCAGTATGCATGCATGGGGCCCTCTTTTTTCTTGACCCAAAAATCAAGCTCAATTAGCATTTAATATGACTAATATTTGCTATAACTAATAATGCCTTAATGATTTTTTGTTTCCTAGTGAATGATTGATTAGCTAACTGGATTACATACATGACAACTCCAAAGTCCAAATCGATTGCAGACAGAAAGATTTTCCATGTCAAACAATTTTGATCTAACTCGATTAGTTTAAGATAGCCATTCTCCGAATGACGTGCTATATTTTCGGGGAGTAAAAATCGAGATTAAGTTCTCTCAGTATGTATCGTGAATTGAATTGTACGTGTTAATGTTTTAACTTTGGGAAAACTATTATTATAATTGGGTACGAACTGTATTATTTGACCGAATTTGTCCATTATATTTCTCTTTTAGATTACATAATATCTCATACGTAGTCACCTCTTTCACGCATAAAATGAGTTTTTTCAGCCTTTTTTTGTTCTTTTACATCACATATTTGAATCAGTTGATTTGGTCCAACTCTTACCTAACAATTGAGTATTAGAATGGCATGATCGCTTTCTCGCTCCACCATGAATTCGCGTTATTGGTGCGCAATTACAAACCATCTCTATATTGGTTCGATAACAAAGATATATCAATGTTAAATCTCTCATATATTGTGCAATTTAGAAATCATGGAAATTGGAAGGCATGTCTGCATTCTTTCTTTTTCAAAGTTTTAAGGTAACCAAATCGATAAGAACAAGGATAAGGGGCCAATATTTTGTCAAAACTTTTTGTGGGCTAAAATACTTAGACATCCTTGTAAATTAAAGAGTATAAAATAAAATTCACATTATTAGTTTCCCCAAAAACAAAAACAAAAATGAAAGGGATTGTGCACAAAGTGACAAAATAAAATGGAATAGTCAAAATCCCTAATCACATGGTTGTTTCCATCTCCAAATCTCATCATGTCCAAATTTGACTCTTGTGGCTTCACTTACTTGTCAACAAGAAATCAATTTATTGTTCACCTATATCTAATATTCAATTCAATGTTCCTATTGTGAAGGGAAATATTTAATATTCCTTTGTAAAATTAGATATAATTTTGTGTTCCATGTTGGGTTTTTGATAGAGCAGACAGTATGGTTGGGCTTGGGCCCTCCCTTGTAACCCAGAAATCCAGCCATGATCGAACCTCCTAATATGTTATTGCCATAGGTGATGGGAATCTTAAATGCTAATGAGTTTATGTAAATCATGATAAAATGGGTCGAGAACAAGGAGGGATTGAGCAGGACAGGTCGGAAGCCATACTCATGTTCCACCTCATGCTATCACATGCTGAATATATAATACTCGTCCCAAACAAGTCGAGACATATCAGGTCGCACGAATCAGTTCAGAAATTGTCATCACTATCTATGAGGAGGGTTAATCACTGTTATTACTCACCGAGGCCTGATAATATACCAAAAAGAAGTTCAATATATAGCTAGTTGACAAAAATGTCTTATCTTAACTCATACAGGATCCAACGAACTAAGTTGTAATTAATAATGTACCAACACTTGATCATTATATATAGTGCGCGGTCGTATAAAGCTATGCACAAACCCTAATCCCTCGCGCCAAGCACGAATTGATGTGAACGTACAGTATGAAATAATAAACCCCCAGTTTCGTCTTCCGCAGAAACGACACGTATGTTTCGCAAACTTGTTTCTGATCACTTTGGTACGTAGTACTAAATATGAAGCGACGGCGGCGATGGCGACGGGCATGCATTCAGCAATTATGGGGATGTAACGTGCCGTACGTCGCCGGTGGCCGCGCTGATGAGAAGAACCCGCCAAATGTCGATGCTACGTTGGAGCAGACATCACATTCGTTGGCTTAATTGTATTGTGATATAATTCATGGGACATCGTTAATCTGGTCGACATAAAACGAATTCTAGGGCTGGTTATTTGGTCCCAGACTGTTTGGTTTTACCCGAAACCGGACCGTATAACCCGGACCGGGACCGGACTGGGACCAGATAGCAAACAATGCAATATCATATTCGGGCTTAGATTTGAGGTAAAAAACCGGATAAAGACCGGATAAGAGACCCCCAACACCTAAAATCAAGATAAAATAGGGATCGGGTCGGGTCAAGACCGGACCAGATCAAGACCGTACTTTATCTAATCCAATCTTTGGTCCTTATATTTCCGAAAAGACCGGACTGAGACCGGATCAATTTGGTCCAATTTAATCGGACCGGACCGTATAGCCACCCCTAACGAATTCACACCAAAAATCACATGCCACGCTCACGCATGAAGTGTACACACAATAATAGTGATTGCCAATTTGTCGTGGTCTATAAGATTCACAATTGAAAAGCTTCCAACAATTTGAATTGTTGGAACCAACTGGTTCCTTGACACGTACGGCATCATAGCATTCTGTAAGCGCGAGAGGTCTTCTGCTCGAATCATGGCAGCTCCATTTAGTACTAAACACATAGTATTCGTTACAGGAGAAGGTCATTTTCACAAAACCTTGATTATCGTTGTATATTTATTTGCAATTTTGGGAGCTAGGGACGGTTGGGGAGGGAGAAGGAGGGTGCAATGGTGGCCATATATGCATGAAGGCCCAAATTCCAAATGGGGACGACGACGGAAAGAGAAAGGGAAGAGGACGTCGTTGCTGTTGCGCTCACATGGCTGTGTTTCCCATCTGCACGACTCGACGTTGACAAAGTCGGAGGTCGACCGACCGAGTTGCATGGCGGCATCTCTGTTCATGATTTGCTTTCGTATATAACAACCCGGCCGGCCACCGGCCGGCCGCCGGTCGTCTCAATCAAATACCATCTTGACGCCTCAACATATAGGAGACTTTGTTTCTTGTTTGTCTTCTTCTCTCTTGTACGTAGTAGGGGTGGGCATTCGGTCGGTTCGGTTTCGACCGAACCGAAATTATGAATACCGGGTCCCCGAATTCTCCCAAACTCCAAACCGAATTCGAACCGAATTAAAATTCGGTTTGGTCGGTTTAAACCGAATTATAATTCGGTTCGGTTCGGTTTTATACACAAAACCGAAATTGAGAGGTTACTTGTATCTTCTCACTTTTAAATTATTTTTCACCCTTAATATAAACAATAAATATGTAATTATATGCATCATCAATGATAAAATCAAACTTTTCAACACATAAGTAATAAAACATTTCAAATATTTATGTCTAAAAACAAATACAAACATAAATATCCACCATTTGAGCTTGAAATTACAGTATTTCGGTTTTTTGGTCGGAAATTCGGAAATTCGGTTCGGTTGAAAGAACCCTGATTTCCGAAATATCCATATTTTCCTTCCGAATTCCGAACCGAATAGCATTAGTTCGGTTTCGGTTCGGTTTAATTCGGTTTCGGTTCGGTTCGGTTCGGGTTTACCGAACCGGTTGCCCACACCTAGTACGTAGTGACATTAATTCTCGATGGCGTGGTTAAAGAAAGTGGTTGAACAACTATAGCACACATGTTAGCTATATGCAATTTGCAAACTATATATATAAGTCTTGACTATATATAGCTAGGTAGCTATATATACCACTAGCCATGAACATGGAGGTACCAGGTTCGAATCCCTTCAGTAGTACCTAATAAAAAAAAAAAAGTAATCTCTATCACCCTTATCTATAAGAAAAAGCTAGCTAGGCTCTGATGTGCTTGGGGTGGCAAATGTTTTGACTTGGTCAAACGAAACTCGAGCCATAACTTGGTGTTGAATCATTCATGTTTGATGTGCATGAACGATTCGCATATACTTCGTGGCGCTAATCGCGCCACAGATCACATACTCGTGGCCGCACCAAATACATTGGGGGTACACGTTTATTAATTGTATACATATGCAACTGAAGTGTGATGGTTCGATCAAGTTTTCTCGTGTAATTTTGGGGACCAATATTCGACTTGCTTACGAAAATTGTCATTAAGCATCGTTCTCATCTTCTGTAAGGCAAATTGGTGTTGAAAAATCATCAACAATTCGAGGGAGGTTGTTCGGATCCCAAAGATTTATGGGATGTGGATCTTTTTTATGGGTTTAGTTAGAAATACTGGACTTTGAAACTTCCAAATATATATTCTCCTAAGTTTAGCTAGAACGATTCTTCATAACAAAACGATTCATCATCTCGTAGATAAGAATACTGATATATATTGACAAACCAAACAAAACTCAAACCTGTCACGGATTAATTGGAAAAGCTTTACCAGGGATTCATGGGAACACTGTGTAGACAACAAAAGAAACAAGACTTATATATCGATCCTAGGTACGATTTACCACGACAGGAATATCGTTGTTTTTATAGATCGTGTCATATCGTGGCTATTACATCATTTCCTCCATAGACCACAACCAGTGTTGCGATATTTCGTAGCATCCCATCGACTTCATTTTCTCGTGTCGACCATTTTGAGCCCGTGAACAAACAATTTCGATCTCCCGTATGCAATTGAACACAAATTTCTCAACAAACCGACAGTAACACACATAGTGTGAACTGCCTGCACAAATCCCTTTCTCATTTCAAGTAATTTTGACATGGTCCTCAGCCGTATCTTTACAAGACAACATAAGACCCTCGTCTCTTTGTATTAGATAGAAGAGTAAAAAAAGAAACTAGTCTATTATACCTACACACTAACTAGATAAATAGTATCCAAAAAATTTGTGTACACCGATTCCCATTCAGTTGTAAATAGTATCCCCACTAAAAAGATTTCTACAAAAATTGTGTTCCTCCGGCCGGCGGCCAATCAGTTGTGAGTAGGAGGCTTCTTGCTCGCCGGAGAATAATCCATCCCGACGAGTTCGTCGGCATCCGGCAAATGGGTTTCTTTGGATGGGACCTCCAAATTGTCTAACTTGTTACTATGCTCCTTCGCCTCTACGGCTACTACTTCATGCTTCTCTTCATGACTAACCACTTCTTTCAACCTCCTTCCTGCTATAACAAAGCACAAACCAAAAAAAAACTTAATTAGACAAAGGTTGAGTTGTTTATATGAACTCTTCGTAGATCGATCGTTACCTTGAGCACATGGAGAGATGAAGCAAAGCAAGAAGAAGGCCGCTAGAAGGAGATGCTTGGTGGAGTGGTTCTTATGCATCTTTGCCATTGATGAGTAGATGATGATGATGATGATGATGGGCTATGTGATTCCAATTCAAAGGCTTCTTCTTCTTCTTCTTCTTAGGATTTGCTTTGGTAGTTTCTTGTGGTTTTTGTTTGGGAAAAAATGGAGCCACTAACTTATATAGAGAATGGAAGAAGAAGAAGAATGTGCGGTAGGGATGGGAAGATAGAGATTGTGGAAAATGTAGTAGAACATGATTGTGAAACCGTCGTTGTCTATGTCTCACTAGTGTCAATGCATGGAAGTGCTAGCTAGCCCTAGACAAGACAAGACCCCTCCAATCACCAAATGTTGTTAAGAAATTAATTGAAAAAAGATATGTGTGATTTAGGTAGGGGGGTTGGCAATGGGTTGGTCCATACTGGACCACACCGGACAAAATTGATGTTTGAACCGGATCACGCCGAATCGAATATAATTACTCAAGAAAAATGGACCGAATTGACATTTGGAACGGACCAAAGTGGACCAAAGCGGACCAAATGCACTATTGGTCCGATCCTTGGTCCTAAGATATGTTTCACTATTGGAATGCGGTTCTCATGAATTTTGTCTCATGAATTTTAATGTATTGTCTTGGAATTAAATTTAGCGATTTGAGATCTACCTTGGATTTTGGGTATGAATAATAGATGAACCATTCTGGATCATAAAATAAATAAAAAATGATTTTGGGTTATGATACATTTCAAAAATGTATCTTGATATATAGATTGCATGTTTCCTCTACAAATGTGAACATTTGACTTGATTAGTGACTAAGAGATTACATCATCGATAATCTATCTCGAGAAGATTCTCTGGAATCTATAGCATCATACTTGTTTACATGAGTATTTGACAAATTCAACAAAATTTAATTCAAAGAGGACAAGCTAGCCTTGTGAAATACTTTGATTATTTTTGCCACTAGATCACATTTGTGAAGGTTAGCAAAGTGGATATAGCATAGAGTTTGGAGCCTTGGACTTCAATTAAATATAGCTAAGAGCCTTAAGTTTATAATTGAGGGGTTGATTCTATATATGCATGGTATCAATTACCAAGTATGATTCAATCAGTAAGTTTATAATTGAGGGGATGATTCTATATCGTTTTGAATCAGATAATGCGATTTTTTCGATTGGACCATCATTACTATACGGTGTAACAAACCTCGGGAATGGAACACGTGGCGGCAGTTGGATGATTTTCCAAAGTCTTATGTTAACTCAATCGATAAGTACAAGGATAAGAGGACAATAAATTGTCAAACCTATTGTGGGCTAAAAATTACTCAGAGGCGTCCTTGTAAAAGTAGAATGAAGAGTTAAAACCCTAATCGCATATGGTTGTTTCCATCTCCAAATCTCAATCATGTCCCAATTTGTAGCAGACAGTATGGTTGGGCTTGGGCCCTCCATTGTAAACCAGAAACCCAGCCGTGATCGAACCTCCTAATTAAGATGTTATCGGCTTAATTAGGTGATTGGGAAGCTTAACCGGTAATGAGTTGATCAATCATTAATTGTGTCTGATTTGATCCCAAACGTCATGCTTCAAGTGACATAATTATCCACGAAAGAGGGGGTTAATCACTATTGCCGCTGAAGGAGATCGATCCGGCAATCACTATACTCCTCAAAATTTATAATTTCTTGGAGAATAATATGGATCATAGGATAACAAATGAAACATATGTGCGCGTCGTGTTGACATGTTAACGATCTCTCTCATACTCTGTAGATTTTTCTTAGGGTTATGTGAAGATAGTCTCTTACCTCGACTTTTTTCACGTGTCAATCGATCGCCATAGAAAAGGTCGAGGTAAGAGGCTAGGTTTTGACGTCATCACACAGTCACACAATCTAGTTAATCGATCGCCATGGATGACTTATTCTAACTCATATTCGATCCAAACAGTCTAGGTTTTGACATTATCACTTGATTAGGTACGATCTAAGCTAAATTATCCATCCCATCTAGCTAGCTACGTGATAGCCGACTCGGGTAGGTTCATCATCTGATCAATTTTATTCTCAAAGTTCGGTGAACTGACACGTCACGATAACGTCGACTCAACTAGAATAGCATGTAGTTCAAGGCATCGAGTCTTGCGCATCGAAACCCTCACAAGTGGTATTCTCTTAAACGACGAAGACGTGAACGACATGACATGGTTGTGTTGTGGGGTGGGGCAGCTCGGCCCATGGCTAGGCCCACTATGATGTTGGATTTGTGTGGAGCGTGAGAGGGAGGAGGAGGGTGCATGGTGGCCATGCATGCATGAAGGCCCAAATATTCCAAAATGGGGACGACGACTGAGAGAGAAAGGGAAGAGGACGTTGCTCACATGGTCGTGTTTCCCATCTACACTACTCGACGTTGACAACGTCGGAGACTTTGCATGGCGGCATCTGTTCGTGATTTGCTTTCATAATAATTCACCCCGGCCACCGGCCGGCGGCCGGCCCGATCTCAATCAAATACCGTCTTGACATCTCAACAAAGGATCGGATTTTGTTTCTCTTTTTGTCTTCTTCCTTCTGGTTCACAAACATTTCCCTATCGCTTGGAGAGATTTCTGTTAGTGACATTTCTTGATGACGGTTTAGAAAGTGGTTGAACGATATATGTCTTGATTATACGGACTTTGAGGTGGTTGGAGGTGTCAAATGGATTGGTTCAGTCAAATAAAGACGGGTATATAACTTGACGTTTAATTATATATATTATCATATTGTGATCATAAATCATTTGAGATATTCTTATTTATTCGATAAAAATTACTAGCTATGGCTATATGAGAATATATCACTATTCGAACATCAAGGATATACAATAGATCTCGATAAAACAAGATATACCGATTACGGTTATATATGTATACCGTAAACTATATCGACGGCTACCTATATGAACTCGAACTCCATACCTCATGATACCTTATCAAATCCGAAGCCAGTACTGATTTTACTAGTTGTAATTGCACATTATGGAATATCATTATTTTAACTTTTACGATTTTATAGCTTATAACAATATTATATTTTACATGAAATGTACAAGTTAATTACTGATCTAAGTCTAATACCTCTATTAGATAACTTATAAAAGACCAGTTGGAAATTTTCTTATTTCTTATATGTTTTTTCAAATGACAAGATTTAAATTAACTATCAAATAAATTGTATTTAATTTTTGTAACTTACTATCTTTGATTTAATTATCAAATAATAAAAGGAAAACTCATAAACAGGAAGATAATGAACATTGAAAATAAGTTAAATGACTAAAATGAAACTAGTAAGGAAATTCAGTGATGATACGAAGCATTTTGGCTATCGCCTCTTCGGCGAAAATCCTAACTTCCACAATCCCGCGCTTATTCGAAAATACCAATCCAGAGACGAAAACCGCACTCTCACTCCCTCTCTAGCTCGCTCTCCGGCGGTTCCATCGAATTGTTCCAGCATTCCTTCCCGTCTTCAGTCAATGGCGGAGAATCCGATCCTTCTCTCCGACGAAGACGCCGACGATCCAGGCACTCCGATTCCACCCCTCTCCAAGAGGCTCCGTGCCGCTCGAGCGGAGCTCGGCCTCGACCCGGCCCCTACCATCTTCCTCATCGATGACGATCCCTCTCCGTTCAAGCCGTCGCCGAATTCCTCATTCGCTCCCTCTGTCGTCCCGGAAACTCCGATGTCTGATGTTGCCGCCGCTGGGAGACGCACGGTGGACCTTTCGACTCCCGAAATTAGGGTTCCTGATTTTGGCCTCATCGGCGATGATCCCTCTCCGTTCAATACGAAACAGAATTCCTCATCTGCTGCCACTGTTGTACCGGAAACCCCGATGTCTGATGTCGCCGCCGCTGGCAGATGCACGGTGGACCTTTCGACTCCCGAAGTTAGGGTTTCTGATTTCGGCCGTAAGATTTCTGGTACGTATCTGTCTTTACTTAGTCAAGAGGACCCAGAGGAGTTTCAGTTTTTTAGTGGCTGTTTTTCCGCATTTGAAGAAGTGCGAGTTTCGTTCTGTGTTTGTGTATTGGAAGGAAATGGCGGAGTGACGCGCTTGGAGCCGGAACGTTTCGAGTCGGGAGATTGCTCTGGAAGTGGAAATCGGTGGGAGAATGAGACCGTGGATATTGACGATGAGGGCAATGATGATGAGGCCGTATGGAGGTCTAGGTTCTCTGAATCAGTTGATTCACTTGGTACATTTTGGTTTTCTTCTTGAATGACTTGTAATGATATTTGGGTCTCCACTGACTGAATTTTTTCTACCCAAGGGTTCCTGGAAGTTGTGGATTGTACTCTGTGATATTTAATTGTACATTTTTGTGAGGTTCTGAGGGAATCTGATAACATAACGATTTTCAGGTGGTGCTAATCTCAGTCAAATGTCGTCTGGAGTAAACTCTTCACACTCAATGTTGTTAGAAGATGATCAGGTGATTGCTAATCCGAGCTTCCTCTATGTTTTCGAAGAGTCTTCTGCTAGACATTTCCTTTCCTAATAGCCTTTGCTTTCTTAGAACTCTTAGTTGCATGACTGGGCAGGAAATGTGTAGATAGCTTGACCTATAATGCCTTTACTTGCTATGTCTATGAGTAGAAAGTCCTTCACAGTTTGTCTGCAACCAGTTCCAGTTTTAGGTCGAACGGAATACCATTTTCCAGTTTTCATCCTTTCCCACCAAGACAGCGAGAAATGGATTCGGGAATGGAGTTCCGTTTCCATAGTTTTTGCTGGCTCCTAAAGGGCTGTTAGTTCATTCAGAGGAAGTGTTTTAGTGCATTTACAGAAAGTTGTAAGTGGATAGTTACAATTGCAGAATCATAATCTTATGATGTCAACAGAATCTTGTTGTCTTGTGAGTTATGATATATTAGCAGCGTGGGAATCTAAGAAAGAAATGGGATTGAACGCAGCATGTTTCTCTAGGCCAGCTGAATTGGATCTAATCTCTGATGAAATGACTAGGACATTAGGTAATGTCTGCAAATGTTAAGCATAAGATCAGATAAATGAAATTAAAACTACTAGGTTGTCTTTCAAGATGCACTCTTCTCGGAAGAAATTTTAGGATTGCTACTGATTGAATTGTTTGGCTGATATTTTGTCTCTTTTCATCTTACTAATACTTCTCAATCAGTTACACGACAACCCTGACAAAGAGAATCTGGAGATGGAGCAGATGGATGGTATTGTAAAACAGAAAAGGAGATCCAAGAGCAAGTCAGAAGAGAAAAATAGTAATACAGATGAAGCAATTGAAAAGAAGAGGAAAGCGAAAGAAGAAAGGGCTCGTTTGATGGAAGAAAAGAAGCAAAAAAGAGAAGCAAGTTTCCTTGCTCTGTTTACTAGTTGTTGTGAATCTGTAAATTCTTGTAGACATTTGGGGAGATAGCTATAAATCCGTTTTTTTTTCTCAGGAAGAGAAGCTGCAAAAGGCAGCTCTGAAAGCTGAAGCAGCAGAGTTGAAAAAGCTCGAGAGAGAGAAACAGAAATGGGAGAAAGGGAAGTTGGCCCTAAAATCAATTGTTGCTCAGTTGGATGCCAAAGTAGTGGAGCAGGCCTCAGTTGGAGGTGAGATTACGTAAATCACCCTTCTGAGTGGCGTTATATTAACCTTGAGGTTCATTCTGAGTTCTTATATCTCTTGTTGTAGGACATCTTCTGTCCAGGTTTGCTGAGAAAGGGCTTACATACCATATAACATCACATCCAATTGAAAGATCAATTATGTGGTCAATGAGTGTGCCAGAACATCTTGCGCAGGTATTAGTTTGTTAATTCTTTAAGATTAATTAGGATTTCTTGGATGCAATGGTGGTAGCACTTGGTCCACTTGTTAATTGCAACTCGCTTAATGTTGCTGGATTTCTAATTTGATGACCTATACTTTGTTGTAGCTATCGATCCAAGAACAAGATGTACGATATATTTTATTCATCTATGAAGCTGAGGAATTTTGCAATCTTGTAACCAGCGAATCACTTATTAAACATGTCTGCAAAGTTCGAAGTCAGTATCCATCTTACACAGTTTGCTACCTGACGAATAAGTTGATGGCTTATATTAATAAAAGGTTTGACACATCACTTTAAGTTTCATTCATGTTGATTTGCCTACCCCCACAAAATTAATCCCCAGCCATCCAAATGGGTTACTATGATTATGAGATGAAGATTAAGTGGTGGCAATATACAGGGAAAAGGAGCTGTACAAGAACCCAGAAAGTGGTAGCTCTTGGGTTCGTCCACCTATTGAAGAGGTAAAATAATCGTTTGCAATGAACAACTTGACACGTCTTATTGATGAATTTCAAAGAATTCGCTGACTTTCTTATGCATCTTCGCTTTCTGCAGATGCTGGCAAAATTAACCACCCACTTTGATAAGGTATATTACAGGCACTGTAGAGATGAAGCTGAAGTTGCAGAACATGTCGTTGGTTTGACAAGTAGTTTAGCTTCTTGCCAATACAGGTTATAATGCATTCACTTATTTCATCTTTCATCTCTGATGATTAATTATTTAAAATTTCTTACAGTTAGCACTGTCTGTTGCTTCTATTTGTGCTGTCTCAATCGCTGTTCACTCCTTTTCCTGTTTGTTTCTAAATGCAGAAAAAAGTTAACACGTCTCTCAGTTAATGCCAATGGGTCTGCTGTCCCAAAGGATTTTATTGACAAGAATCTGATAAAAAAGAGTCCATGGTAAGTAATAAGGTACCAGAATCCCTATCGTGATTGTAGTATAACTTTTCTTCAAAGGATGATTTTAGTATTATAACCATGGGGGGCTGTTCCTAGTCCTCTAGTGGTGTTATATAGCATGTTAGTATGCACACAAGTTCACAAGGGTTTTGGAACTGACATTCTGGTTTTTGTTTTTCAGGCTAAAAGCTCTGGTTGCAATTCCCAAGGTGCAGCCTCGTTTTGCTGTTGCTATATGGAAGAAGTATCCTACAATGAGGTCATTGTTGAGCATATATATGGACCCCACCAAAACGGTAAGCAGCGTTGAACCCCTAGATTTGAACCTTGTTTATCCTATTAATCCTTATAGTGTTGTAGTTGTAGACCTGATCTCATTAGCTGTTGTGTTACTGTCTCTAGTAACTGAAACGCTTTAGTTTGGAAATCCACTAAACAAAATTGGAATCCTTCTCAATTTTTTCCATCGTAATTGCGTGATGTTCTAAAAGGAAGTTCCTAATGAAGAAGTAACAATCTCAAAATACGAAGGGCATGTTTCAGGATGTATGGGTGTCACAATTGCAGTACACAGCAGTGGTTCAGAAAAGTTATAGACTTGAAATATCTAGTCTAGTCCGAGCTATTATGCTATTCTTCTGTCATGATTCTTTTTCAGATTTATGGCTTACCACGGCCATCATGATGGCTTTGAATTCAAATGCTGTTGCATGATAATTCAATGACAGGTTCATGAAAAGGAGTTCCTGCTTGCGAACCTGACCGTAGAAGGGGTGACGGGAGCTGACAGAAGAGTTGGTGAAATATGCTCGAAACGAGTCTACAGAATAATGATGGCGGAAAGTGGAAGCATCAAAACTGACGATGTTGAAGATGGTGCTGATTACTTTCAGCGCTAATCTCCACCTCTTTCCAGGATTCAAGCACCTCTGGTCCAGGTTCCATACATAAACTTTACTATGCTCTGCGCTTTTCTTCTTCTTCTTCTTCTATGATTCTATCTCCAGCTCAAACCTGGACTACAGATAACAATGGGTAGGGTGCACATTACATTCTCCCTGATCACAATGCTTAATTTTCTTAGCCGTCACTACTAGTACTGTAGACAAAGTTCATTAGGAGGAGGAACTGTAGACAAAATTTGGGAACAATACCATCAGTACTAGCAAACCTATCCTCTCACCTATACTATTCTGCAGAAATGCCTGTCATTCAGAATGATTGAAATCTGAACAGCTTTAGACCAAGTTTTCGGGTTTGGGTCTGCAGTGCATTTGCAACCCAAAATACCAAGAAACAAATTAGTTGGTTAGGTGGGCCACTGACAGTAGGGTGGATTTTCAATATGGGCTGACGTCCGTATGCACCAACTGTCCACCTAATTCTTTATTGATGGTGGCACTAACACACACTGGAATACATCTTCAGTGTTTGAGAATATTCCATAGTATATTAATCAAGGGAACAGATATATAACACCTTAACCCCACATTCTCTATCTCAGCAGTCAGATTGCAACAATCGCAATCATAGCCTCTTCTCTGTGTCCCGTAGCTCATAATTACATCATGAGCAATAGCAGCCTCTAGTTGCCTCCACTCTGCTTTGGCCCCTCATATTTGTGGTAAAGAGGGCTGAAATTTAGGAGAATTAATTGGCTTTAGCTTCCACATTTGTCTGTCTAGGGGATTCTTTATTAGATTATAGATGAAAGCTAAGGAGAGCCTGTAAGAGGGTCATGTTCAAAAGCGTATTTGATTCGATTTGATCCGGTTTTTGTTAAAAACAAAATGGTTCTCGATTTTAAGATTTGTCAGAATCGGATTACATTTGTTCCGATAGGATTCGATTCAAATATTGATTACTAACTGATTCGGTCTGGTGTTGGACGGAATTGTTGCCCCTTTGTGATTTGGTAATGGATACACTCGTGTTGATTAAAATCTTGGATTCAAAGTTTTGTGGATATAGTTGTTTGCTTAATCAGATTTCAACATGCCGACTCAAACTAGATTGTCATCATTTATTGGCCTCTGTATTTAACTATTTGGTCCCCTCCATAGTCTGTTGTCTACCAGACTACCACTACCCTCTTTCTCATTCCACCACCACCTCCATTACCTACTCCGCTGCCAATTCTATCATCTATAACCAAAGGAACTAACAACCCAGAAAAGAAGAAAAATAGAATACTCAAAACAACAAGATTAGAATAGAGAAGAATCTTGCACGAGTCACCATCCTAATCATCATTTGATCTTCAATCACGTCATTATATCTACACACATCAACTCCACTCCCTTCATAGCCCTTTTTTTTTTTCTCCCTCTTGTCTACCTTTCCCTCACTAGTGACTATATATAAAATCAGTGTCCTCTGAAACATGAGACCCATCTAGGTAGATAGATAGGTGGAGGGATAGCTGCTGTAGTTGACATCTACTATTGGGTATTGTGATGATGATGGAGAAGAGCAAATCTTTTTCAGGTTACTCGGCGATGAGGAGGGCGGAATTCGAGGACAATTCGAAATCCTACAGCTTCAACGGCCCAATGAATCCTGGTTCAGGTGAGAAGGCTGGTGATTTTGTGAGTGAGAATCCAGAGCTGAAGAGGAGGAAGAGGGTGGCTCAGTACAACATCTACTCCAAGGAAGGTAAGCTCAAATCTTCTCTCAGAAACAGCTTCAAGTGGATCAAGAGCAAGTTTGTTGATGACTACTTCCAGGATTGAAAAGTAGTTTGGTGTGCGTTTCGATGTCTTCTTCTGCTTCCTCTGTTTTTACCCCCTTTTGTCCATCACAAGCTCTCTTTGATCCATCCATCCCTCCCTTTCTCGGGGAGATGGAGATTGAAAACCGTCAGCGTCTGTAAGTAGTTCGATTCAAGCTTTTTGATCAATCTGATGGTTTTTGTTTGTCATCCTTTTTGAACTCCCACTAGGCAGGACATATAGCAGTTTAAGTAGCTGCCTGCCATCATGATACTTAGACCTATCATGTAGCTTTGTTGTCTGGCAATACTCGAGACATTGCTACGACGGAATTCTCGGTAGGCTGGGTTTGAATCCGTATTGTTCCTGTGCTAATGAAGAATTCTGAAGAACACAGTACCCAAGCAATTCAATACTAGAAGGTATAAACTTGAATGGACCAAGTTTATATTCTTTATTCGTTTATGGCAAAAAAAACATTTAACACCCCCCAATAAGAAACACAAATGGAGAAAACGAAACCGAGTTTTGTTCAATCAATCAAATTTGTCTGCTACACATCAAACCGTGGCTTGTTCACGAGGTGGCCTCGATGATCATCATCGAGCCCGAAGAGCTTGGATATCTTGTCAGGATCAAGAGCACAGAAGTCGAGAGTGGACAGCGACCGGCGGTAGTGCTGCATCCCCGGGCCATCCGCAGCAGCGCTGCGTCCTCCACCACACCCATGATGGTGATGGAGGATGTCAGAGACGGAGGCCTGCAGAAGGGTGAAGTTGTTCTGGATGTTCTTCGAGGCACTGGGGTGTGCCTCGGTTCGTAGTGCTGACCGGTCCTGAAGCTGCGGGAGACCCACAGGAGAGAAAGAAGGGTGGATGCGTCCAGCGAGCTGGTTCATCGTCGGCAGCAGCAGCTGCTGCTGTTCTTCTTCTCGCACTGGTTTCAGGCTGGAAGAGGTACTACTGCTCGTGCTGTTCCCTCCTGCCTCCTGGCTGAATACGCTTATCGTTGTAGCTGTGTCTTGGCTGTGTGTTGTGCTTTCTTCCTCTGATATCTTCTCCAGCTGCATCACCACCAGAATCATGAGTCGTTCATGGTTACTTGTTTCCCAAGTTTGAGGTAGATTGTTTTCGGATTACCTCTTTGGGAGATTGATCCGCATCATCCTTCCCCATGGAACCAGATTGCTTCTTGCTGCTACCTTCACTGGTTTGTCCAGTGGCGGCTTTCTTCTTTGGTTTCTTGCGTCTGTTAATCACATGTAGCCAGTCAGTAAATACCCGCCTAGAGAAAACGTGGATTTTGAAATGCATGTAATCAAGAAGGCCTTACTTCTTGCGAGTATTGGACTTGGCTGCTTCATCCTCTGGCTTCTGGATGACTGGCAGACCAGAGAGCTCGCATGCCAATGGATTTGTAGTGAAGAACTGGATTTAGAAAGTACTCTGCATTAGTTTTGGTTTGAATAACTAACGCTGTAGTGACCCGACGAATCGATATTTGGTTCGAATACAATTCAAATATCGACGAAAAAAGTGGGTTTTATTGAAATTTGGACCAGACCGAATCGGATAAGATGTGACCTGGCTTTGGAGGGCAGAGGCGGCAGTGCCACGATAAGAAGGGTTGAGGGAGAGGAGACTGGAGAGGAGGGCAAGGGAGGATGCTGGGAAGTCCTTGAAGGCTTCTTGGAAGGTCGGTTTGTAGTGCTGCGGTGGCCGGAAGCTCGTCGGAAGCCTCATGATCTTCCAGTAGTCCTCTGCCGGCGACCCACACAGCTTGAAGATCCTGTGGATTTGCTCAACCTGGAAAAAATTGAGGGAGAAAATCGAAATAAGTAGATTTGTGGTGAGGAGACCACTCCCCTGCTTAGGGAGAATAGCAAATGCTACATATTACAGAATAGTGGTAGATAGATATAGGGCTAGTCAATATAGTCTTCGTGGTATCATAGAGAAACTACTTCTATTTAAGTATCCAGAGAGACTCCAAGATATTACCGTCAAAATCTCTGATCGAATCAATTTATTACAAAAACGATACGATCCTTTTTCTAGCTTCCGTCATAAGGTTAAGAATGACCTCTTGTTTAAAGCCGACGGCGAGATAAGCATAATAGGTGGTGTTAAAACTGAACAAACTCTCCCACATGGGATAGTAAGAAAAAACTTTGCTAGCCCTCTTTCAGATAGCACACCCGGATCCCTAGTTTAGTCCAACCTAAACTCAACATAATTAATAATATTCATCACATTAACACCATCTCACTTACAATACCACTCGAGTAACGACCACAAAGACTCTAAACGTTTGTTAGCTAAATCGATTAGTCTCTTGTCATCAACTACGAATGACCAACATTTCGGTCCATATTAGATCCAATCAAGATGATAAACAAGATTTATAAAAGTCGATGCATGTTTTATTTTTCCTTCTCAATTTTGTTGGATCCGTTCAAAATGAAAAAAAAATGCAAATCAGATTACAACGAATCAAATGTGACTTTCTATTCCGTTCCGCATTCTATGTATCATCTACTATTTTACTCTCTTGATGTCACTAGACAACACCGCCAACAACAATAATTTACCCTTTTTTTTCCTTCCGTGTAATCGGGACATTCACTATCGACAGTAATAACTAACCTTTCGCATTTATTAATCGAGTAACCCATTTGGTGCTCATGAAGTTTCTTCTTACCTCAGTCCTGCCGGGCATAATGGGCCTCCCGACGAACATCTCAGCCAACAAGCAACCGGCACTCCAAAGATCAATCCCGACGCCATAATCGGTAGCTCCGAGCAGCAGCTCGGGAGCTCTGTACCAGAGCGTGACGACCCTCGTAGTGAGCGGTCGTTTCGGTTTCGGGACGTAGAAATTGGCCAGCCCGAAATCCGCAATCTTCAGCATCCCATTCTTGTCTATCAGCAGGTTGGAACCCTTGATGTCTCTGTGCAGAATCCCTCTCTCATGGCAGTGCTGCAGCCCCAGAAGAAGCTGGTTCATGTAGCACTTCACCTGCAAAGCACTCAAATCCCAAAGGTTTAAGGGAGAGACAGTGGAAAGGAAATGAAAAGGAGACAGAACTCGATCAAACGTTTTGATAAAAACGACTATTCGAGTTGTCACATATCTATCGTTGTGTTGAAATTGATGAATCAAACGAAAGAAGAGCGAGAACGAGAGCGAGAGCGAGACCTGTGGCTCGGTGAGTCGTTGAGAAGGGCGAGAGATGATCCTGGTGAGATCGGACACCATGTAGTCGAAGACGAGGTACAGACTGTACTGCATCCTCGAAGTGGCGATCCCTTCGAGCTTGATGACGTTCGGATGGTCGAGCTTCTGGAGCACCATGATCTCTCTGGCCATGAACTTGATGCTCTCCGGCTCCGACGTGTCGAACCTGACCTTCTTCAGGGCAACAATCTTGCCGCTGTCCCTGTCTCGAGCTTTGTACACATTGCTGTATGTCCCCTGACCAATCTGATCACATAGCAACAAAAACCCCATTTGGCAGGAAAACAAGTTTTTGGGGGGTCAAAATGTAAGAAATGAAATCTTCAAGCACCAAAAATAGTGTCAAACGTAGGACCGAAGATATATTAGAGAACTTATGCAATCTATCGATCCAAACCAATTCATATCAACCGCTAACCTAAGATACTTAATTAAAGTCGATATAGCCCGTACGGAACGATACTACGATTTATGTCATCCATTATATTAGAGAGCCAATGCAACAATCTGTCGATCCAAACTGATTTGCTGCTGACAAGTCAGAAACTAAACTAAAGCAAATTCTGTCATCAAACGTTAGATCGTTAATAATCAGTCTCGACAACGGTCGATACGATTTGACAACTAGAAGGGTGGAAGGAGATCATCATTATTACTAGTGATATCAAACAACAATTACCTTGGCAAGCTTGTCATAAGAATCAGCACTCTTGGGCACCAAGCTAGCCAACACATCTTTGGGGATATTGTCAACAAGCCACTTTGGCCATCCATCAACATAATCCTCCCCACCAATCTTCTTCAACACAACCCTCTGAGACTTGCTCCCACCACCACCACCGCCGGCGCCGCCGGCGTCCTTCCCCGCCGCGGCCACAACGGTGGTGGAAGGATCACCATTAATAATAGTCCCCTTCTTGTCATCATCGTTAACAATAATCTCCTCCAAAGGCTTCATCACTTGATCGTGGTGACTCTCGTAGTGGCTGCTGCTGAAAAGTTTGTCCCCATTGTTATTGAAGCCGCCACCTTTCTTCTTCTTTTCGTCGTCATCGCCTCCGCCGCCGCCGTTGTACCCGTTCTCCGCCTTCAGCTTGCGCAGCCCCCACGGCGGCGTGAACCTCCGCCGCTTGCTGGACTGAATGCAACCCATGATGGTGATGTTGGTCGCCGGTTCACCGGAGATGATGATTTCTAGGACGTGGCATAGTGATTAGTGATTTGAGATTTCGAGGGTGTTGAGATGAGATGTATAGAGAGAAAGAATGAACTGTGGAGAGCTAATTGCATAAGGGAAGCCGTCCTTCGGGCGGCAATTTTTTTAGGTTGGGTTGGAGAGATATATAATAGCAAAGAGGTAAGTAATGGGTGATTGAGAGATTTTTTTTTTAACACTTACCCAAAATTTCATATCGAGAAAGGACGGGAGAGGTGAATGATTTATGAGTAACAATTCAATATTAACTAATAAGATGCATAAGACTCGTTTTGGGTGAAATTGATGAGTTCTTGTAAGAATTTTGAAATTAGAAATCATCATGATTCACCCTCAACAACAAAATTGTGAGGGGGATAGATAATATCTATATTAGAAATTGGAGATGTACTAGGCGGTCATACAGTGTCTCTCTTGAAAGATGGTGGTGCAAATCTCAACGAGAACGGTGAGATACATGGGGTGTGTGTAACACCTTTGCAGATTCCACATCGACACACGGGAGAGAACCATGATTTATAATGAATAATCCAACTTTAACTTATAAATACGTGTTTTGGGATGAAATAGTGAGTTTTTGTAAGAACTATAAATTTAAAGGTGTTCGGTGTAGAGCAGTGCAATTATTAGTGACTTCCTGAAAAGTCACTATGACACACCCAAAAGCATAACAGTGAAAGATAGACTCAAAGTGAACGATATAATGTTTAAAAAAAGTCGGAATGTTATAGTTTTCTGTTCCAAACAAATTTTGTCTCATCGTGATAAAAATGTATATTGTTACGCAATCCTATCAATTATTTGCACAAATTCACAAATATTCAGGCACATGATATATTTTCTATGCAATTAAATCAATTTCATCTTCCAATTAATTTAGAAGTACTTAAATACAAAATTACTTAAAGTTTTTTTTATATATAAAATTACTAAAAGTTTAACGAAAATAAGATGGCGAGAAAAATTGTTTTCTCTCGTGATGGGACAAGGAATTTTTTCCATGATGATTATTGGGGAACTTGGGAGTTGGGATAAGATATTTTATTTTTGTTTTGTGGGTTTGATATATTAATTTGGTTTTGATGATGGGTTTCGATTTCTTTGGCTCTCCATTATCAATGAAGCTTTGTTTTGGGAGTGATGTGGTATAATATCAAGGCAAGAATGCTAGCCTGTTTTTTTCTTGTTGTTGAAGACTTTACTCTCTCTCTCATATATGAGTGATGAAACTTAGTGAATCATTTGATTTGGTAAATAATTAGAATATTTTATTTCAAGGCTCCTAACATATATGTAATATGTCGTGTCATTATTCTTCTTGGTATCGATCATCTATAAAAAAAAATAATCGGAATGCATATGTTTTGGCTTGCAATGTAAGAGATGAACACGGTTGGGTTGACTGGCTCAAGATGTGCGGGGATTATAGCCTTGCACTCAAGTTCAGATAACTGAGAATGATTTGTTAGATAGTCTTGAAAAAGAATACATTTTACATTAATATGAACCGTTGTCCTTTGAGCTATTTTCTTTGGCCATTTTTGTTGGAAAAAGTACTTCAGGATGATAAAGTGTGGGTATTCAGGATCATGTATCTCAATCATTCGATTGAATTTATCTGTTATCTAATCATTATCTCAAGCTTGTATTAAATTTGAATTTACGAATATTATTTACTCAAAATGAATTCTCTTGTTGCCTTACAACTCGTCCATAGTATGACCAGAAAACACTCACATATCTTTATATTCGTGTTAATTGTATATACGTAGGAAAGACAACTATGTCGCTGCGCTAAGTATTTAGCTAAACTTGTTCATAGTTTCATTGCTGGTAGCTAGTTCTTTCAGCAACCCATTGGCTCCATAGCATATTGACAAATTTATAACGTTAATTGAGAAGCTTGAAAGGGCTAAGGGGAAACTTGAGAGGCAAATTGGGTACTAATTCTTGTATTCCTTCCATGGCAACATGAGATAAAACAAATGGCAATTCTGAAATGGAAGGTCAGAATCCAAATGCTAAAACCCTATAAACCCTAAACTTACACCCAAATTGGCAAATTCTGCTCTTCTTGTTGTATCTTGTTTAGTCCCCAATGAAAGAAGAACTTACCCTTGTCTCTCCATTATTTTGTCGATTACAAGACTTTAGATGCATGTAGAAGAATTATGTATGCCATGATTAAAAACAACCCAACAAGATGATAACATTTCCTTTAGCCAAAAAAACCCCATGAAATAGACATATTCTGTTTTGATCGGTAAAGAATCCAAAAAAACGGAAACTAAAAGGCTGTACACCAAACTTCTTCTCTGTCATTTGCCTATAAACCAAACATGGATCAATCTTAACTAATCTCAAGGGGCAAACCCACATAAAGACATCAGCTTGGGAGTCCACTTCCACAACATGTCTAATTACATCTGCCACTCTCCAATTTGCCCTTCAAAACTACCAGAATTTTAGCTGAATATACTGCCGATGCTTATAATACTGTCATTATGAATGATCTTCCTGGAGGACGAAAGGCCCAGATCAAAAGGTCCCAGTGACTCCGTCTGTAACCAAGGGAAATGCAAAACCAGAAAGGGATCTCAACAATTCGTCACAATGTGCAGAAGAAATGGAGATGGCTTATGCAAAACCTCACAAAATCTAGAAAAGTTTTAAGCTTTGACATACCCATTTTATGCCTGACAGTCCAAGGCTGCTTTCATCGTTAAGTGCGCCTGTAGTTCCCTCCTGTCCTTCTGGAATGCCAGGTTGGGAATTGACCTGCAAAAAGAAATAGGGCCAATAGGAATTAAGAACCTCCAATGCAGGCGGATCATCCTAAACCAGTTCTAGATTCCTAAAGCTGGGTTCTTGTTTCTCACTAGTTGAAAGAAACCAGCTGGCGAAACAAAGTGTGTTTGGCCCAGTGAAAAACAATCCTCTCATTGTATGTTCTTACAAGTCTGTTAAACCTATGGTATCTGTCATGATCATTCCAAACATTATCATTGAAAATGTCATGACTAAATCGTTGTATTGACATCTCATGCCCCTGTTTCAGCACACAAACTGGAAAGGATCGAGTCATAGTAAACTCCGTTTCTGCAAAACTTAGGCCACAGGGATTTTGGAATCTACTGACCAGCTTAGAAACCTCTTCCTTGCTGCTCCTGCCCGAAGCAAATGTTTGAAATGTGAATGCATGACATGTGTCTTCAGCGTTTAAAATGGATGAGGTTGAAGCAGGAGGTACAAATCTTGGACAAATTGAGGAGCTCGGTTGGCCGGAAATGAAAGCGTCAAATGATTCGGTAAAGAACAGAGAACTGCTTCCATTTGTTTGCTGTTCAGATGATTTGCTCGACTTCCCTTGCAATGATGCTTCAGATAGCAAGCCTCCAATGCTTATACAATCATCCCATGGCACTACTGGCTGCCCAACACCAATATCCGCTCTCATAGTTGTTGCCTAGTAAGACAAGATATTCACCAGTCAGAAACTCAGAAGATCTAAAGAATACATGAAATGTTGATATCAGCATTAACTAGACTTATCAGAGTCATATCCTATGTGCATCAAGACTTTACTAGATACATCTGCATGAGAGAGTATTGGAGTAATTTGTACTCTTTTAAACAGCAAGAGAGGAAACTATTGCAATTTAGATTGAGAACCAGAACAAGATTCAGCTCATTGAAAAGAAGTACAATACCAGCGGTTCAGTTAGTGCAGAGACAGATACTGTTGCTCCTCTTGAAACGGCTAATTTGGTCTCTTCAATGATTTGTTTGCCTTTGACATCTATAGTTTCAACAGTACTGCTGCATTTCCCTGTTTCTGCTAACTGTAAGCAAGCATCATTCTGGTTTGAGGCAGAACCCAAGCTCTGACTTTCGGCTTTAGAATCATAGAACCAGCCATACCTTACAAAAATCATGTTAAGTAAGAAAGCCAAATCGTTAAACCAACAAAAAAATAGAGTTAGAAGTGCAGAAAGGTTCCGGATGAAGACCTTAACCGAAATACAGACGGCCTTCCAACGGCTGCATAGACATCTTCAGTGCAGACATCAGTGTCGCGCGAGGTCCATCTGCAGCTAGATGATTTGTCCATTGTATTGTATGGGAAAACCATTGGCTGCTGCCCAATAGCAATGCTTGACTTCCCCCATTTGGCATTGAGGTGCTGCAGTACAGATGATATCTTCTTCCTCCGACTTAGAGTGAGTTCCAAGTAAGGATGGTAGCCTTCCTGCGATATCAAATTAACAAACATACAAAATAAACGTTCTGATTTGAATGATGAGACACAACTATTTACCAAGCAACACCTATTATCTCTTTACCTTTTCCAGTCCCTTTAGGGTGTTCTTATCAATGGGAAACAGCTGCAACTTGATCTTCCTAGAAGGTTCGTTGGTTCCTGGATTCTGACCGAACACCGTTAAGGGATTCAATACCTTCTCTTCCATCGAAGGCAAAGGACATTGATCTTCCGGAACAAGAGAACCCCCAGTTTCGTCTAATAAACACGGAAATTTCAACAAACCAAACCCTCAGAACCATAAGAAAAAAGTTCATTGGAAGAGCTTTTGCCAGAATGGAAATCCCTCTCAAAATCACAACAGTCAATCGCATAGCGTAACTAACCTTTTGGATTTTTGCCAGACTGCCGTCCACCGCCTCTACTCCTCTTTGCCGGCGGTTTTCTTACCTGAGACAAACTCGACCCCTTCTTTGCCACCACTGAGCTATCCACGGGATCCGCGGTTATCTTCTTCCTACCTCTCATCTGCGACTCCAATTTTCCTTCACCTTTCCTGCAAACCCCAAAACCTAATCAAAATTCCGGAATCCGCAAGCTCCTCGTAATTACGGTGAACGGAGAATCCTATCTATCTTGACTGTTTCAGATCTAGTAGCTCAAAGGAAAACCCAGA